GGAAATGGCCTGGCTGAGGCAGCTGAGGGAGGCAGGGCTGGCAAAGTGTTCTGCCCATGTGGTCCTTACTGTTGCCGTAGGGACCTGCCCTGTGCGTGTCATCTGGCGTCTGAGGCAAGAACCCATGGGTTTGGGGTGGCGGCCACAGAAACTTCGGGGAACTATCCCAACGATTGTCAACTCTTCCCAAAACAAAGCTAACTCCACGTCAGCTTTTCATGTAATTCATTAATTTTAGAACGTAATTTGAGATCACAGCTGTTTCACGTTTCTCTTATAAGAATTTAATTGGTGTGTAACAGCACAGTTAATTAAATACAAATCAATAGTTTAAAACAACTAATTGATTCTTAATACGAACAGGGAGGGAAAACTTAGTTCTAACATAATTAACTCGTATTAAATAAGCAATGAAATAGCAATTATGTCTTTACAACAATGTAAAGTTTACGGTTCCCTTTCATAAACTTACAACCAGCAAGCAACGAGAGTCAGAAATTATGAATCAGGTGTTATTGAGCTATTAAGCATTTACCGCTCGCCCTAGAGGGCCAGGGCTGTGAACGAGTGCCCATTGGGGATTGCCTAACCCGGGCTCCGCCTCTCTCAGGCTCTGTACTACGGAGGTTCATCAGAAAACAGGCCTTCCCATGACTCAGGGGCAGCATCAATGTCCGCGATGTGAGGACTTAGGCTGCACACAGGACTCGGCAGAACCAATACAGTTTAGCAGCATGCAGGTCAGAACTTTGCAAACACGCGACCAGCATCCTTGGGTGAGGCATTGCTGGACGACCACCTGTGAGTGAGGGAAGGACACCCAGCAAAGGCCAAATCCGTCACAACCCATGACATTGACAGCCCTGCGATCACAGTTCTCCCCTGAGCACTGAGCCAGGAATCCAACCTGGACCTGGGCCTGAGCACTACTCCCAAGCAGTGCTTCGGCCTGGAATGGTCACGTTCCTTTCTCTGCACCTCAGATTCTCAGACCAGAATGAGGGAACTCATTTCTGCCTTGCCTATCGCAGAGCTACTGTGAGTGTCTAATGAGAGAGCGACTGTGACAGCGTCAGGAGAAAATACGTTATTCCACAAAAGCGAAGTAATACCGCGGTCTCGCCGTTATTACTAATAAGAATTTTAAAACCCCGGGGCGAGGAGAAAAGGCCCGTCCTCGCCCTCTGAAACTAAAGGGAAAAACCGTTCCATTTCCAAAGCTTTTTATTCCCCTCAGGAGGGAAGTCTCACGTCTCCTCGACTCCTGTTCCGACAAATTACAATTTTCATTCATTTCACCGCCCTCTCTCCCTCGCCCAATCCACTGGGCCACGTAGAAGCCTCCTGATTCCATTCCAACCTGGGCAGAAAACTGATCGCTGCCCAAGATTTTCTAGCTGGCCCTTTCATTAAATCAGAAGGACTGTGCTGGGGACCAGGGGGTCAGAGGTAGTTTTTGCTTTTGTGTGTGTGTGTGTATGGTTTTTCTTAAAGGCACAGGGCAGACCCTCTGTTGTTCAGAGCCTAGAGGCCAGGAGGCCCTGGGATGAAATCTCTCCTTCTCCCTTAGAAACATAATATTTCCTAATAAATGTTTCCTTGCTCAGCAGTATTTCCCAAACATGGGTTCTCCTAAGGCAGAGCCCTCCACACCCCCATCTGCAGGTGGCCCTCACTTCTTCGCTGTGACTTTTATTTTAAGCCAGGACAACTTATTTCACGTTAATCATTTGCCAGCTTTGGTGTCTCTGATGATTTGCTACTGATACTAGTAAGTGCTCGGCCAAAGTCCACAGCTCCCCCGTCCATGTGGAAAAGACACCACATTTTGCCGCTCTAAAATGGGCATCTATGCCCGGCCAGCGTGGCTCAGTGGTTGAGCATCAACCTATGAACCAGGAGGTCCCGGTTCACTTCCCAGTCAGGGCACATGCCCCGGCTGTGGGCTCTATCTCCAGTAGGGGGCGTACAGGAGGCAGCCGATCCATGATTCTCTCTCTTCACTGATGTTGCTATCTCTCTCTCCCTCTCTCTTCCTCTCTGAAATCAAAACATTTTTTTTTAATAAATAAAATGGGCATCTGTGATCTGGCTCCACCCTTGGTCCCAGTGCCATGTGGCAGGGAAGGTAGCAGGCTGGAGGGTGGCCGAGCTCATAAATCTGTTCTTTCTGTCACATCTGGTCATCTCTCCCTTCATAGCCTGGTTAGTGGGGCCTGGCAGAGTTTCCCTGAGTCAAAGCCATTAGTTCATGCTTCCCGGGTTCTCACCTGGGTTCCCCATTCGCCTACCCTCCCCCTATTCCAGCCCTGCTGGCACTTCCTCCCTTGGACCCAGTGGCCTCCAGTGTTCCTCTGGCATGCCTCTCGGGAGCAATCTCATATTGCAAATGGCTGGCTAATGCCCACTCCCCTGAGCCTCCAACCTGCTTGCTTTTGCAAAGATCCCAGTGGCTTCTCCCCACTCCTCCATGAAGATGAGGCCAGAGAACCCTCTCCCTTAATAAATTCCTGCAGTGTGCTTATTCGCACCTTGGAATGTAGCTGCCTCCATAATTAAGACTAAACCACACGTGTCAAATTAAATGAGCCAAATACATTGAGAAATTGCCTCACTCTCCATTTCTTTTCTTCATCAAGTTGTAGTGGGGTGTTGTTTTTTTTTTTGTTTGTTTGTTTGTTTGTTTGTTTTTGTCTTACTTCTTTTCCTGGTCATTTGCAAAACTCAAACTTGGTCAGTGAGGCTCTTACTTAAAACAACTGGGCACGTGGCCTCTCTCGTCCCACAGTCACTCTGGGGGCAGCCTCCTATGTTGACATCGGATGGACTGAGCTGGGGCGGCAGAGACAGCCTACAGCAAGCATGTCAAACTCGTTTATTGGGCCCGTGTTAGCCTCCGAGTCTGACATGCTTGGCCTACGAAGATCATCTTGATTCCACAGGTTGTCCATGATAGATCCTCCCTCCCTCCAATTGATGGACAGACGTAAACCCCACCTGCAGCCAGACATTCCTGAGCACTGAACCACTGATCAGCACCTGCCAAATACCCTAAGCCCCCGATTCCTAAGTCCCTAGGTCCCTAATCATAGGCCTTACAGGAAACCACTAATCAGCGTGTGCTGAGTGCCCTAAGCCCAGTCCCCTCACCTCCCCTTAAAAAGTGCTTGTACCCCGGCCCTCATCCTCTTCCGCTCTCTCTGGAAGCAGCTGGCAGTGATAGGTACCCTTCTCTTCAATAAAGCCTGTGTTCTGGCATCCCGGTCTCCAGCCCCTTCTCTATTTCATTTTTCAGTCCACACTCTAAATTTTTAGGAAAATTATGTCCGCTCCATTTGCCTGGGGACTTAGGGAACTTTGTAGGAAGACCTACAAGAAATGGACCTAAATCCATCCAGCACCTCTGCCCCCAGGACTCAGTCCCCCCCCCCAATCCTCCACCCCCTTACCCCCCTCACCTCCTCGGCTCAGTGTAGGAATTCAGGCTCCCTCTCTCATAAGCAGCGGCTGCTGATGTGCTGAAGGTGGACATAAGAAGTCACTGGAAACGATATTAAGAATTGTAGCAATTGTACAGGTTCTGATGATGAGCAATCGCATTGCACCTGTAATGGCCAAGCCAGCACTGCCTGTGGTTACAATACAATCTGGGGCAAGAGGCTATTGTTGAGGGGGGCTCTGAGCCTCCTCACAGCTTGTGCTTCCCTCCCTGCATGCTGCATTCCTGCCTCTCAAGGCAAGGCAGTTGTTAGGCAGGATCCACAAATACTGTAAGTAAACATCAAAGAGGCTTTGATCCTCCCGCCCTTCATATCGCAGGAGCCCCCCCCTCCCCCCCCCAAGAAAGAGCCAAGGCCTCGGATGAGGGAACTTAACACTGTCAATTTGGGCGCCTGAGATGTGAGGCTGTTTGAAGTGAGGGCGGGCAGACGGGCCAGCCGTGCCTTCAGAGGAGGGGCCGTGAAAGGGAAGGAAAGAGGAGGCAAGCACCTTTGGATAAGGCACTCGGGCCTGCTTCTCTCTGGCTCTTTCCTGATAGTCAATAAACCCCTTGAAAGAGTCAGGAGATCAAAGCCAGGGATCTCCCTGGGCCATGGCATTCTACCACCACCCCTCCTCCAAGCTTTGTTTTTCCCCAGGGCAAGAGCCTCTATGCCACGCTTGACTCCTCTGTCTCTCCTGGGCCCTGGGCTCCCTTCCATCCTGATGCTCTGCTGGGGAGGGTGTGCTGGGCACCAGAGGTGGCTGGAGACACAGGGAGGAGGAGGAGCACAGCCTGCCCCAGCTCCAGCAGCCTGGAATCACCCAGTGTTTGGGGACACATTGCTGCACACGCCACTCAGTGAAAGGTCCTTCTCTGAAAAACAGGGAGGGAGTGCCTGGGTCCCCGAGAGGCTGGCAAGGCCCCGGAGAAGGTGCAGTCACACACAGCCTTCCAGAAATCACACCCCTTATTCAGCCACCTTCCAGAAATCACACCCCTTATTCATCCCCCTGTTCGTGGCAGCTGTCACCTTTGTAGGACTTCTAAACAAAGAGGGAGGGGTGGGGAGTCTAAAAGAATCATGGGGCTCAGTGGATAGCGCGCCGGCCTGTAGCGTGAAGAGTCCTAGGTTCGATTCTAGCCAAGGGCACGTGCCTGGGTTGCTGGCTCGATCCCCAGTCGGGAGCGTGCAGGAGGCAGCCGATCCATGATTCTCTCTCATCATGGATGTTTCTATCTCTCTCCCCCTCTCTCTTTCTCTCTGAAATCAATAATATTATAGATGTATATAAAATAAAATAATAACGCGGATAATGATATGTACCTCGGAGGGGTGTGGAAATCAAATAAGACATTTGTGGCTGACAATGATGCCTGGAGCTGAGTCAATGCACTGCAAAGGCTTGTGAAATGACTAAGTACATAAGAGCAACAAGGGGTTCTCTCATCCTCTGCAAAAGGGGTTCTCTGACAGCTGACCCACTCCCGGCTCACCCACCTCTGATTTTTCTTCCAGAGCTGGGCCTCCAGAAGAGAGGATGCTGCCTCGTGCTGGGCTACATGGCCAAGGACAAGTTTCGGAGAATGAATGAAGGTCAGTGATCACACGCCTATCCTCTCAGGAGCAATGTGTGTGTATGTTGGGGGAGAAGGGGGGGGGGGGGCTAAGCCCTGTAGTTACAGAAAAGGAACTTGGGGAATCTAGAAGGGAGAGCGGGCAGATCAGTTCAGTTTCCACGAAGCTATCCATATAGTAATGTGAAGAGGGTGTCACTAATGCCTGAAACACAGTATGCTGACGCTGAAGCACTTTTCCTGATGGGCTACCTTTCCTCCTCCCTTTGTGTTCCCTCCTTCTCTTCCTCTGGCTTCCCTACCTTTTATTTCCCACCCACCCACCTGGTGCAATTAAATCTGCTTCTATCATCTTTTCTAATCCAGACCTCTTGACCTTTCCCCTCAGTCGCTCACGTTTGTTCAATGCCAATTGAATGAACAGCACCTGATGGGGCACTTGGGATGATACTAAAGGGACATAAGGCCGAGGGTTCCCACTTGCAAGCCTACCCTCTTGACTAGCTCCACCCCCCTTCGCCTCCCCCGTATTCATCCGCCTTCCTCTAGCTCCAAGTCTTTCCTCCGAGGCCAGACCGGGTCATGGGAAGCTTGGGAAAGGCATTGATATGGACGCGGAGGCTGGGGCATGGAAGGCGAGTTGTCGCTCCTAGGCTCGCTGTCATAAAGAACCAATCCCCTCCTCCCCGGCCATCTGTCTCTGCAAGCTAATAACCCTTTCCATCAGATGCCACAGACTGTTTGTCAGGACTCAAAAGTAGATCAACAATGGCTGGGGATGCCATTTATTCATTAAAGTCAGACACACGAAGCCCTGGCCTGCAGCCAGCCCAGCTTGCTCTGACCGGGCCCCTCCTCTCCCGACGTCCTGGGCTCCCTTCCAGGCCTGGAGGAGGCAACTCACCTGTACTGTCCTTGTTTTTAGAGCTGGGCAACTCACCTGTACTGTCCTTGTTTTTAGAGCTGGGCAACTCACCTGTACTGTCCCTGTTTTCAGAGCTGGGCCATCCAAAGTACAGTTCCAGGGCACCCTCCAATGCTCCCCAGCAGGCTCTCCTCCCAACCCACAGTCCATGGCACCCACACCTGCTTATGCTCCCCAAACTTAGTGCCTCACCAGCTATAGGTTCGTCACCAGCACCCATCGTGGTGACAGAGTGACAAGAGGCAGGCCAGCACAATAAGCACAAAGGGCGTCGCCTCCCCATTCGGCTACCTGTCTGTGTAAGAGGGCAGGGGCACCAAGAGACAACTCCCATTTGTGGGAGCCCCGGGGCTGAGCCCCAGGACTGGGATTGTCTGCCACATCCCAGCCTCTAGTCAGTCCCCCTTCCTGGCTTTCTCTTGTTCAGCCTACCCCCTCCTCTCCCAACACAGATTTCAAGAGAGCGCTAGGGGGTAGCTTCTCATCTGTGGGGACATAGGGGGTGCCTCTGTCCGTGGTTCTGAATAGGCTGCCACAGGCTCTTCCTGGTGATGCCCATGACAGAAGCGACAGAGACTGGGGAAGCTAAAAAGTCCCGAGCTGGGCTGGATTTGAAACCTCAAGCTCTGGGCTTCTGACCAAGGACAAGGATGCTGACTCTGAATCCTGGGGCCCTCAAAGAATCCTATCACATGACTCATAAGCATGATTTGACTGCCCCCCACCTTGCACGAACTGCTGTAACCACGCACGACAGACTGGGCGGCTTAAGCAACAGAAGGTTATTTTCTCACAATTCTGGTCGGCGGAGAAGCAGGAGGAACCTGGAGGGATGGGTGAGACTCCCCTCCCTGCTCCCATTCTGGACGGTCCAGCCACATGATACATTTTTTTTTTCTCTTTCTGAAACTCACGTGCCCAAACTCCGACACGCCTGGAGATAAGAAAAGGCAAAGGCAAGCATGGGGAGCTGTTTTATGGTTTATAATTATCTTGTACCAATACCGAAAATAATTATAACTTCCACATATTAATAATTGAACTGGAATAGCAGCCATGACATAACTCAAGAAAAAGAAATCTCTGTCCATGCTGCACCCTACACCTTGGTATAAATGGAACCACTGGTAAAAACAGTAAAAAATAATTATTTTTCTCCCAGACGCTGGAATCAGTGAGATATTAGAACAATTAGCTGCTTCTTCCATTAAAGATAAGGTGGTGATCATTATATTTCTAATTTAGAAGAGATATAAAAGCCTTACGTGTACTGTATTAACTTTTATTTGTTCTGTTTAACGGTGTTTCGTAGGGTGTCTGTCACCTGGGGAGAAGTGGCCTCCTATTTTATGCCTCCTTGTTAATCTTGTATCTTTTTCTTTACTTCTTCCTCCACTGCTCCCCCCCCTCCTCCTCGTTACTTCCCCCCCAAAAAAGTAATAGCTTGAGAAAAATAATGAATGAGCAGGAGCTTTATAGATTTGGGGTTTATCATAAGCTAGAGTGATCACAATTGGTGCAGTTAAACTACACAAAGCAATAAAGGGAAAACACGATTCAAATATCATTTAAGGAGGCATATGATAGTCGAGGAGAGCTGCTTTATTGGAGGGTGCTTAAAAGCCTGCTTGGGTAGAGTGGGCAACATCTGCAGGAATGGAGGTGCTTAGCAATATGTGGTTTGTATGTGTGCGTGTGTGTGTATGTGTGTGTGTTCTTTCCTGTTTGGACTCAACACACCTGTGGCCTCAAATGGAGATTTGAACAAAAATTAATGGAGGGTAGATGAGGCAGGAGGAAATAAAACCAGGCCAGGCATAAGAATCCAGGTTTGTTTGACCTCATCGACTTCATGTGATTAAGTAACATGGTGCTTTAAATGGGAACTGCTGGAAGGAGGTCATTTATTTATTCATAAAACAGTCATTGAATACCTACGAGCAAAATAATATCCATTTTAGCCCTCGCTAAAATTTGGCACAGGGGATAGAGTCTGCTTGCAGAATGAAGGGTCCAGGTTCAGTTCCAGTCAAGGGCACATGCCCAGGTTACAGGCTTGATCCCCAGTAGGGTCCATGCAGGAGGCAATCAATCAACGATTCTCTCTCGTCATTGATGATTCTATCTTTCTCTCCCTCTCCCTTCCTCTATGAATCGAATAAAAACACATTTTAAAAAATGATATCATTTTTATCGTAAGATCCAGGCGTGGTTTTAAGCATTGGAGCTTTTCAAGTTAAGTAAGACATGGCCCCTGCTTTCCATAAGCCCAGGATAAAGACACGCGGGGCCTTCTCCGTGTTACTGTTCCCTCCACAGAGAGACCCAAAATTGGATCCTCCTCTTCCTCCACCTTTGGGCTCCATCGAGGCAACCAGCCTGTTTGTTGTGTGACGCTTACCCTAAACAAGTTCACTAGACCCTCTGCCCCTCTTAAAGAGACCGATAGACAAGGATCCCACCCACTCCTTCCCTCCCCTGGCCCAGTGTCTCCCACCAGGAAGTAGTCGGTCAAGTTTAATTTATGTAATTAATTGGTGCCATGACGAGCAAAGTCACCCACAAGTGCAAAGTGGGTCCACACGTCTTCCTATTGGCCTCTCCTCCAAGTCCGGGTCTAAGGCTCCTCCTGGGAGGCCAGGGCCTAGGCAGGTCAGCAGAACAGGGGGCTGGGAGGAGTGGGTGGGATCCTGAAGGGCTCCTCCCCCTTGTTTCCACACCAGCTTCCTTCCTGACCCCACGTACTGCTGGGCTGATTCCCAGCAGTACGTGTGGTGAGGAAGCATCTCTAAGGTATGTTCTGCCAGATCTTCAAGGAGAGTTGTTCCCACAGTTCCCTCATCCCACACCCCCAACAGGCACACACACCACCTCTACCTCCACCCTCCCTTCTTTTCTTGGCAATTCCCATCACCCCCTTCTCCTGGAGGTCCCATAACCACTCACCTTCTCCATGCACATGCCTGCCCAGGGCTGATCCTAGTCATGGGCAGATAAAAGCTGTCACACTGAATCTGATGTGTGACTCTGCCTGCCTCTCTGAAAACCTCCGTGTCTGTCCCGCCCCCCGCTTAGAGCATAACCAACACCAGCACTCACAGCACAGCACAGCGACTCAGGAGGGGCCCAAGAGCATGAGCGCTGCCTCCCCTCCCCCATCAACAGGAAATTCCTGGGAGACCCAGGACCACAACCCAGGCCTCCTGATGTCTGGTCTGGCGCCCCTGGGATTCTGAGAGAGAAGGCTGACCGTGAACAGAGGGGCAGCTGGTTTGGTGTTTTCTTGGGGTAACTGAAAATACAAAGGAAGTGGGAGGGGTCCGGGGAAGAGGGGCTGGACACAGGTGAGTTTCCAGTTGATGGGGGAGAAAGTCAGGAAGGGCCTGGGGCTGGGGACATAGGCAGGGGAAGCCCATTTCCTAGGAACCAGCAATGCCATCAGGCCCTAGGACTCCTGAGAAGAGCAGTGAGGATGAGGAGGTGTAAAGGGAGAGGGGGAGTCAGGCAAGCTCTGGCCCTTTTCACAAGCTGAGCCTGCACCCAGCTGGCCTTCTCCCACAGCACCCTCTGGAAGGCGGCGGAATCACAGATTCCGGACCTTTAAATCACAGCGCCTCCCAGCTCAGTGAAGGGAAGGCAGACATGGCTCCCAGCGCCCTCCCTTCCATCTTCCCAGGAAGAAACAACCTCTCCTCTCTGGGAGAAGGTGGCCTCCACAGATGGCAGCCCCCATACAGGCTCTGGGTGGTACCCCCCTTCGAGTCCAGGCTTAGGGAGCACACCTCCACCTCCACCCCTCAGCCAGGTGGGTGGAATCAGGCTCAACAGCAGCCCTGACTGCTCTTGACAACATCAAGTCTAGCATCTGTCTGCACCCCAATTCCTTAGTCCATGAAAATGAGCCTAAAGCGTGCACTGTTTCTTGGCTGTCCCCTGACAGAGATGGTGAGGGAGGTGCCCGGTTGGCTGGTGCAGTGGAAGGAGCACCCAGAGGGGGGCGCCAGCTGTGTGACCTCAGCAAGTCCTCTCACACTCAGATTTCTACCTTCTTGTGTTCCAGCCTGAGTAATGGGCTACGACCACCGACAAGCCTT